CACATTTTTTTTTTTTTAATCCAGTCCAGTTTGGATGGGCAGCACGGTTGGTTCCATGTTTTTGCTATTGTGACTAGTGCTGCAATAAACATGTGTGTGCAGCTGTCTTTTTTGTAGAGTGATTTAAGTCAGAACCTATCTTAAAGAAAGAATATGGAAGGTGGAAAATTATGAAATTAAATTGTAGAACTCCCAACTGTAAAATATGCAGCCATTAGAAATAATCATATTTACCGGTTCTAAGATTAGAACAAAAAAATAGAAATGGTCATCATAGAAAATTAAATTACAAGGAGAAAGTTCATGATATATTAAATGCAAAAAAGTAAAATATGATGTCATACCTAGTATGTAATCTCAATCATGCGAAGGAAAAAGGAGCAACAGCTCTTATAGTGACTGCTGCTCTTCATTGAGCCCCTTTCCCCAACCAGGTGTTCGGTGCCTGGTAGATGCCACTTCATCTCATCCTCACTGCAGCCCTGTGAGGTTGGCACTGTGATCATCTCCATTTTACAGATGAGGAAATTTAGGCTTAGAGAGGTCAGGTTTCTGACCCTGGGTCCGACTGCCGGTACATGGCAGAGCTAGGCGGCAGACCTCAGCGCTGATGCATCACTCACGTGCCTTGTCACCAGGCCTGGCTTCCAGTTGGTGATTGCCTCGGGGAGATGGATCTCTGTGGATTCTCTGTTCTGATTCTTTGCCCTTTTATGTCCTTTCCAAATTTTTTGTGATAAGTATATAGGGACTTGATTATCAAGGGGAAAAAGTGAAAAAACTGAAGGAACAATACATAAATGAAGAGAGTCAGCAGCTTCTGAGCTAAGCCTGCATTGCTTTGTTTGAGACTTATAGCTAGCAGAGCTCAGTGTGAACCCCGGCACCCAATGTGGCCTGTGGCTGTTTCCATGATATGAGCAGATGTTGGAACATCTTTCCCTGAAAAAGAGCATCAGTGTAAAGGGTTGTGAAAATAAAAACATGTTAAGGAAATAAAGGCTGTGACTGGTTAATTCGCAGGACATTTTATAAAAAAATGTATATTTTATCATCTGTTGCGATGACTTGGGAAGAATTTTGTTTTTACTGAAGTAAAACGTTATGACCTAATGTTTTCTACAGATAAGCCAAAAGATGTTTGTAAATTCTTGTTTATTTATTGGTGACCTTGGCTACAAAAAAAGTAAAGCATTTTGTGTATTGTGAAGGGGAGGTGCTTTTTTCATAATGACAGATTAACAACATGTCCATCAAATTAGTCAGGAGATAAATAATGCCTTGTTTTCTACTTGCAGAAAAATTAGACACTATGTGTCCATTATCAGAGTGTGCAATGGCAGTAGTAAGGTACGTGAGGAGCATCCTGGAATGCGGGCACATCCCAGCAAGATTTCCAGGCAATTGGAACTAATGCCTTTTAAAATTCCTTTTTAGGCTGAGAAAATATCAGAATGTGTTCTGTCTGACTCTCATACAGGTATGGTACCCATATTTATTCTTAGAGTCTGTTAAATTTTAGGAAAAATAAAAAACAGATCCTTACTCTGAATAGCTTGCATGGTACAGTGGCAGGACCATATTTTCCTAGCACCATAGCAACATTTCTCTCCTTGACTCCCCAGGGTGGACTGTGAATCAGAGGGTCACAGGTGTGGAGTGGGTTTCAGCCTATGGGTAGAGAACTGGTCAGCTGAAATGCATGAAATCGTGACAATGTGTTGAGTAAAGGGTGGTTTTGGAACCTATCTGTGCTTTAAGAGGCAGGCAGGGTTGGATGTTAGACCACCATCCTTCAACAAGGACATTTTCATTTGCCCTGATGGCCATCACCTCCAACCTCCAGGGAGGCAGCTGGGCCCCTAAGACTTGGCTCACCTCATTTGTCTCCTAACCATCCCTAGACATGATCTGCTTGTCCCATGTCTTTGTTACTGCAAATGCTTTTCCCTGGCTTGGAGTTGCTTGTTAGTCACCTGTTTCCTTCAGACATGTGTCATGGCTTTAGTAAGCCACTTTTTGCTCTGGCCTTAAGGATGACAGGGCTGGACTGTGATGAAGGGCCACTCTGGCTTCAGACTGGAGGATCTCCATCAAGTGTCTGTGTAGACACTCATGCCACCCTGCCGTGCCTGAGCATTGTGCTTTGGTTGCCCAGCTAGTCTGTTAGGGCTGCTGAGGAGGAGACTTTGTCTTCCATTCTTCTGCACTGTCAGTGATGTGCTTTCTGGAATACAGAAACAGTTCATTCATTCATTTTGAAAATATTTGCCTTGTGAGCACCTATAGTGCACAGTGCACTGTGCTAAGTGCTTTATATACAGTTTTGCTTATTGAAGCCTTGGAATAACCCAAGGAGATAAGCATTTTACAGATGGAATTCCCTTGTTGCAGGCAAGGAACCTTGAAAGGCAAAGTAATTTGTTGAAGGATATCTATCTAAGAAGTGGCAGAGCTGGCACTTGAATAGAATGGCTGACACCAGAGCTCTGTAGCATAGTTCTTGCAGCACTCCAAGAGCAGTTAGGGCTTTAATATGAAAAGAGACACATTGATACAAAGGCACACAGAGCAAGTGCTGAGAAGGATTGGCAGGAATGAGAGGGCCAGTGGTGCCATGGCCCACAGGAAGGAGAGTATTCCAGACAGGGAGAGACTGATTTGAATAAGAAGAGAGGCGTGAAAGGAAAGGCATTCTGGCAACAAAAATAGGCACAGAGTATGTTCAAGAAAAAGCAAATATTGCATTTTGATTGGTGTAAAGAATAGACAGGGAAAGAGAAGTTTAGATCAATAAGGACCCTTAGACTGGGCACAGTAGCTCATGCCTGTATTCCAGCACTTTGGGAGGCTGAGGTTGGAGGACTGCTTGGGGCCAGGAGTTCAAGACCAGCCTGGGCAACAAAGCAAGACCTCCCATCTCAATAAAAAATTAAAAAAAATTAGCCAGGCATGGTAGTGTTTACCTGTAGTCCTATCTACTCGGGACTGAGACAAGAGAATCATTTGAGTCCAGAAGGTCGAGGCTGTGGTGAGCCATGAGCTGTGGTCACTGCACTCTGGCCTGGGCTACAGAGTGAAACATTGTCTCAAAAACAACAACAACAACAACAACAAAACCCTTAAATGCTAGGTAGGAAATTAGAGCTATCATCTGTAGGCAGTAAGAGTCTCAGAGGACTTCTAAGCAGGTGAGTAGCATGATGCCATCCGAGCTCTGAGATGCTCTTAGAGTATGTATATAACAGATTACATGGAAGGAGACCAGAGATAAGAATACCAGCATTGCCATGGTTGAGAGGAGAGAAAACCAAAAGACTCCTCAAAAGGTGGTTTCTGAGCCTGGAGATATAGGGAGTGGCGGTAGGACTAGGGAAGATAAATGTGGAAAGCCTTGCCTGTGAAGTTCTGGTGGACAGTGGAGTGGGTTGTTTATTTACTTTGTCCATTTGTTCTGCTCTTACTTGCTGGGCACTGGTTCCTGTGTTCTACAGAGAGGTTAGGACTAGAGATGCAAGTATTTCTGACCTGAGCATTAGCAAGTAACACAGATGTTCTTGCAGAGCATTAGCAAGTAACACAGATGTGGAACTACTGAAACGGAGCCCAGGGATGGTAAAGCAGGGTGGAGTTATTGAGGAAGGAGAATGGCAGGAGAGGAGAGGAGGGTTGAGGCAGATTCTGAACGACCACCTGCCTTCAGAGAAGGAGGAAGCAGGAGCTGAGAGGGGAGGGGTCTGGGAGAGGGAATCTGGAGACTGTCACCAAAGCTAAGGGCTAGGAAAAGGGGAAACATCAAGAACAGTCAGGGCTGAGGCGCATGGAGAAGGCAGGGAGAGAGTATGGGCTAGAGATGGATGCAGCTTTAGCTTTTGGATCCAAGAGTTCATCTGTGACCTGGAGAAGTGACTGGTGAGGGCAGAAGCCAAATCGCAGGGAATAGAACAGTCGGGGTAAAATTAAAAGCACATGTCAGCCTGTTATGATAAGAGGCCTACCTGGCAGGCTCATAGGGTGTTTTCATTTGGTTTGAGGGTTTAAAAAAAATTCTTTAGAATAGCTTTAATGTATGCATGCCTATTACTTACATTCTTTTATTATAGAGGAAGAAACTGAGGCTCAGAAAAGTTTGATGATGGCTTAGAGTTGGGCAGCCAGGATACGACAGAGCTGGGACTGAGAGGCAGAGTCAGTGATACAGTCATAACATTGTGCTGGACCATTTGGTAACTTTACTTGATCACCACTCATTTAGGCATCTTACCCATCTTGCCCAGATGAGCCACCTGCCTTGTCCAATCTCCTCTCCCCCTCCTCTCCCAGCTTTGTGTCCAAAGATCTCAACTGGCCTTCTTGCCTTGGGAGGGCAGGTGGAGCTATTAAAGGCCATGGACCAGCTAGAGTCTTTGGTTATATACAACAAATCATTTCTTAAGCAGAAAAGAAATCTTTTATGAAGGACATAGATTTGTTTACCTATTAGACAAGAAAGCTCTGGACCAGTTTTGGAAAAAGAGGCAGGAAGCTAGCTGGTCAACTGCCCACTGCCCTAGGTATGCCATAGGAGCCATGTGGTTAGGGGCCACTGCTGTCACTGCTGAGTTTTGGGCACAACTGACCTGTTGAGGCCTGGATGTAGGTATTGCTGCCATACTATGGCAGCATGACTTCACACCCTCGCTTCCTTGCCTCACTCACTCCAGTGCAGACTCGGGAGGAAGCACTCATGTGGCTAGGCCTGGGTCACTGGCTCTACCGCTAACTGATATGGAGCATGGTAGTCTTCAGCCCCGTCCCTTCTGGCCTTGGAACTTCCCGGACGTGGGAAAGGAGGTTCAGGGTCTGGGCATCCAGGAAAGTAATCAAGTCCAAGCACATGCCCCCTCTTCCCTGGGCCATGTGTCATTTTCACATGACACTGTCTCACTGAAGATACCACGTGGTTGTGATGCCATCCAGTCTGTAAACCTTGACTTGCTCTGGGTTAGACCCTGAGCCTGGCTTCTGGCACATGAAATGAACATGGGTTTCACTGTCTAATGCCAGGTGAAAATAGTTTGAATGCACTGTACTTTGTAGTACAACGCTGGGGAGCTGGGATCTGGAAGAGAAGTTAGGGGCTAGCCAGAGGACAAGATGGGAGGAGCAGTGTACACAAAGACATCCAGACAGGTGAGACTGAGGCAGGCCAGTTTGGGCTCGTTGTGCAAGCAGAGAAAAGCCAAGATAATCTTTATAAATAGGTGAGTGAAAAAAGTCTTAGAAACTCCTGAATTTAGGAGTTACTTAGGTATAATCAGTAGGACTTGGGAACCAGCTTACTGTGCAATATAAAGAGGAAAGACTTGAGGATAACACCAAGATTTATTGCTTGGCCACTGATAACATTAATTAAAATAACAAGTGCAGGTAAGATAATAAATAGGTTTGTACAGAGATGGGATAGTGAGTTTAGGTCTGAACTTATTACATCTGGAGTGCCTGGAACATTCTAGTGAAGATTTCTGGTGTCAAAAAAATAGCCAAAACTCTGGGCCCTGCCTGAGCAAGCTCTCCTGAAGAGAGGAAGTGAGATAGGAAGACTGAGCACTAAGGTTGGAACCCAGCAATAATAGACATTTGAGAATAGAATTCTGAGGTACTGAGGGGGGTACTGAGGATAGAATTCATTCGTTTAGCCAGAACTCAGTGCACAACCACCATGTGCCAGGTCATGTCTTCATCTCTGCTCACAAGAAACCTGCATTCTAATTGGGGAGTGAGGTGGACAGAAAACAAGCATATAGTACATTAGATGGTGCTGAGTTCTGTGGAGAATAAAGCAAGGGAGGGGAGCTCAGGGGAATAGGAGGGGATCAGGACTGGCCTTGCCAGTAATGTGACAAGTTCAGGTTCAGGTGGTATGGAGTGGGGCCCAGGCCCTAGTGTACTTTGCAGGTGTTCTCGTGGGCCGCCAGGGTTGGGCTGTTGCTGAAGGCCTCAGAAACCACTGAAAAGTTGGAGGCTTGGTCTATATTTGAGAAAGTGAGCTTTCTCAGGAAGAGGAGGTAGTTCCTAGTGGTCCAAGGCTTCGGAGAGCACCGGGAGCATAAGGGTGACTGGAGGCTGTGGGATTGGCAGTCTGGAGGTACTTCTGGTACAGAGGAGTTGCTCCACAAATGCCCGCCTGTTGAGAGTGCCCGAGGAAGTGCTCTTGCAGTGTTGTGGTCCCTGCTGCCATGGTGTGCCAGGGTGTATCTGTACTTTGATTTGCTTGCAGGTGCAAATGCAGGTGTTGGCAAAGCAGGAGGAGTATGCATGTGGAAAAAGCTGCTATCTGCAAGGGTTGCAACTGGTTACCAGCTCTCTCATCACCTCCTTGCTTCTCCAGAATTCCCTGGATTTACCCAGCAGGTCAAGGAAATACTGCTCCTTTCTGGTGAAAAGATGGGCAGAATTTAAGGATCCTGTTTTAGAGAACTGGAAACCAGGAGCAGAGACAAAGCTGCAGGCAGTACTGAGCCTGAGCCCTGGCTGCGGAAGCCTGTTTAGTGTTCTCTCCATGGATGGGTTGATACCTCAGATCAGTATGTATTTGTTGAGCACTCACTAAGTTTGAGGCCCTGGGCTCAGTGCTCCTTTCAGAACTTGTGATCTCCTTAAAGTGTAAACCCCACACTTCCTTATTCATACCCTTGGTGTTCCCCAGGAGAGCTTCTGAGAGCCAGCTGCTGGGGAGACAGGATGGAGACATGGTCCATCTCTGCCTGTTGGTGATTAAAGAATCACCTCTTATTAAAGAATCATCTGGAATAGGCCAGGCATGGTGGCTCACACCTGTAATCACAGCACTTTGGAAGGCGGAGGCAGAGGCGGTGGACTGCTTGAGGCCAGGAGTTAGAGACCAGCTTGGGCAACATAGCAAAACCTTGTGTCTACAAAAAAAAAAAAAAAATCTAAAAATTAGCCAGTCATGGTGGCGCACACCTATAGTCTCATCTACTCAGGATGCTGAGGTTAAAGGATTGACTGAGTCTGGGAGGTCGAGGCTGCCATGAGTCATGATCATCATGATGATGCCACTGCATTCCAGCCTGGGTGACAGTGTGAGACCTTGACTCAAAAAAAAAAAATCATTTATAAAAGGCTACAGAGACTCGGGGGAGCAGTGAGCTTAACAGGGATTTTGGAAGCAGGAGGATCTAGTATTTACATAAGTAAAGTGAAAATGCTTAAGTAGAAATTGAAGCCTACTTAGTCTCCCTCTGTTCTTGCCTCAGCGTTGTCCTGAATACACACTGCTACTTCTCTCCAACTGTACCGCTCTCTGTATACAAACAGCTTTCTCCTCCTGAAAGTGCCCTCCTTCTCCTCCTCCCCCCTCCCTCCCTCTCTTTCCCTCTCCTCCTCCCCCTCCTTCTTCCCTCTCCCCCTCCTGGATGCAACTGCAAGACTCCATCTACCTCCTTTCTGTCCCAACTCCCAGAGAGCAGAAGTGATGACAGTCACTCTTAGTTTACCCATCTTTATTCCTCACTAGACCATCTCCCTTTAAGGACATGAAACCATATCTTATTCATCTTCACACCTCTAATGCCCAGCTTAGGGCTTGATACATGGTGGGTGCCCACTAAATGTGTGTTGAGTGGAATAAGAGGGGAAAAGATGAAGGTACAAATGGTAGGCTCATCACCCAGTCTAATCAGGCGGTGGTATGGACATTGATCATCACGAAGCTGAGGGAAAGGAGCAACGCTTTGGACTCCATGCGGTTTAGAGGAGGAGCAGTGTGAAGGGGTAAGCCTTTGGAGAGGGTACAGTGTCTTGTCTTAGACAGAAGGAGCAGATGTCAAGGCTGTTCCAGAGATGGAGGGCTCAGCAGCTGTACTGGTGCTGCACACTCGCGGTAAACACAAGTGAGAGCTGAAAGCCCGGCTGCTGCGGGCAGATTGTACCTGTCCTTGAATGCCAGGAGGTTCTTTATCTCTGAGATGCTGAAGGATTTTGAGCAGGGGAGCCACAGACAGAGTGGTTATATTTAGTAGTACTTTCATTTGCTCACAGGTGCAAATGCAGGTGTTAGCAAAGCAAACATGTATTTATCGGGCATCTCTTACATGTTAGGCACAGTGCTGGCTGCCTAGGAAAGAGAAAGAAAAGACTGTCCCTGCCCTCAAGTCATTCACAGTTGGCAAGGAAGACAAGACAATAAAGCAGGCTGTTACCCAGCACTGCTGAATGTTGTGAGGAGGCTTTAAGGAAAGATTTCCTAAAGGCTATGATCCCTGAGCTGCATCTTCAAAGAGGATCAGTATTAACCAGGTGAAAAAGATGGCATGGGAGAGGACAGTCCCATGTACAAAGTAAGCAGTTTGTACCAAGACGTTGAGGTTTGGGAGGCAAACTAACATATCGTAAGTAGGTCAGGGTGGCTAGAGAGAGGGGATCCAGATCTCATAGGACTCCAGATGCCACACCAAGGCATTTGAGTCTTGTCCTAAAGACAGGGACAAGCCTTTGAAGTGTTTTAATTGGGAGAGTGATTTCATCAGATTTTTGTTCTAGAAGGATCGATCACTTGGCTGCCTGTAGAGAATGGTTGAAGGGGGCAAGGTTGGGGCTGTAGTACCAATGTGGGAGGCTATTGTTATAGTCTAGAGAGGATGACAAGTGTCTGAGCTCAGACAAAAACAGAGCAGGGGGTAGATACAGAGGTTTTAGGAAGTAGAATCCATAGATTTGTCCAACCAGTTGAAAGAGAGGTCATGGATGACTTGTCTTTACCTTAAGCAAAAAGGTAGATGCTATTTAGTGACCTGGGTTAAAGAGCAAATTTGGAAAAAGATGAGTTCATTTTAGATAATGAATTCATTTGCAGTGCCTGAGGGTTATCCAAATGTAGGTGTAAGTGGTCAGTTAAGATGTACGTCGGAGCCGGGCTCGGTGTCTCAGCCTGTAATCCCACGCCTTTGGGAGGCTGAGGTGAGTGGATTGCCTGTGCCCGCGGGTTCAAGACCCGCCTGGGCAGCGAGACTTCATCTCTACAATAAATCAAAAAAATCAGCCAGGCGTGGTAGTACATGCCTGTAATTCCAGCTACTTGGAAGGCTGAGGCGGAAGGATCGCCGGAGCCCAGCAGGTCGAGGCTGCGGTGGCCGGGAGCGGCCACTGCACTCCAGTCTGGGCGACAGAGTGAGACTCTAACTCAAAAAAAAAAAAGAAGATGTACGTCTGAGCTGGGCTTGGTGGCTCAGCCTGTAATCCCGCGCTTTGGGAGGCTGAGGTGAGTAGATTGCCTGAGCCCGCAGGTTCGAGACCCACCAGGGCAACTTGGCAAGACCTCATCTCTACAAGAAACTAAAAAATTAGCTGGGTGTGGTAGTGCGCACCTGTGGTTCCAACTACTTGGAAAGCTGAGGTGGAAGGATCGCTGGAGCCCAGCAGGTCGAGGCTGTGGTGGCCAGGGGCGGCCACTGCACTCCAGTCTGGGTGACAGAGTGAGACTCCAACTCAAAAAAAAAAAAAAAAAAAGATGTATGTCTGGAGCTCAGGACAGTGGTCTGGGCTAAGATGCTACACAGGAATTAATTAAAGCTGTGGGAGGGAATGAACTCTCACAAGGAGGTTGTGTTGCTTGAGATGAAGAGCTAAGAATAGAACCTCTGGAAATTAACCTTTAGCAACACCAGGGTACTGAGGAAGAGGTAGTCATGAAGGAAACTAGGAAGAAAGAGTAGGAGGTGGAAGGAAAACCCAGAGAGCGTGGACTGTGCAAACAGTAGTGTCTGAAAAGAAGGATCAGTTGTGTCTAGTACCATAATCAAGTCAGGTAAGGATAGAGTTGTAGCCTTCAGAGTTAACAACAAAGGGGTCTTTGGTGACCTTGACAAGTTCACTTTCAGTGCCCAAAGAGAAGAGGATATGGCTTTGATTGGGTAGAAAAGCAAAGAGCAGGGGACCATTGCCTTGCTAGAGTCTGGCATGGCCATGTGCTCTTTGAGCCATGGCTGTCGCCATGCTTCCTGGCTTTGGTCTCCCTTCCCCACCTTGGGGAGGTGAATCTTCTCTTTTCCTTCTCTTTCTCTCTCTAATTTATTTCTGAATAACTTTTCTTTCTTAAAAAAAAAGAAAAGAAAAGAGCAGGTGAAGAGGTTTCTCAATGGTGCAGAGGGAATAGTACTAAGGGCCTGCATCTGGACCCTGTCTGTGAGCAGGGAAAGGAGGGGCTCTGTGTGAGGAAGCCAAGATGAGGCAGAGAAGCTGCTCCACAGGGTGGGAGGAGCTGAACTCAGTGTCCGCTTTGCTGTGCACTTGTCTGCAGAGCAGCTTCCTGTTCCCTCATCTGTGAGAGGGGGTTGCACTGCGAGGCCCACAGCACCACACATGGTACCCAGGAGCTGCACAGAGGAAGGGACAGAAAGAAAGATCAGCCTTGCTTTGTCAGTGATTGGCGAGGGGAGTCAGGGATCAAAAGGAGCCAAAAACAGCACCATTTGGAGCCTAGGAGAGCAGTGGTGCCCTTCACAGAAAAGAGGGAATCAGAGGGAGAAAGATGAACTGTCATTTGAAACATAACCTCAGACAGGGTTCACTGGATACTCTAGAAAAGAGAAGGTTCTCCCTGGGATATTTTAGAGCTTATGTTATAGAGAAAAATAGATAAAAGGTTGTTATTTCCTTTGGGGCAAGGGTGGATGGGAATCAAAATCTTCCCACCATTTTATTCAAATATATAGAAATGTAATAGAGGAAATTCTCCTAGGGTCATTTCTGCCAGTTGTTACTTTATGTTTGGGACTCTGTAATTATGTAGTCTGGAAACTGTAAAGCTCTTGTGTATGAGAATACTCTGTGGGATATTTTGAGAAAGTCAGCTACCTTAAAACTGAGTTCATAGTCTTTATCTCTACCCTGTATTGATTTTTGTGGCATCTCAAATTGTGTTCTAATTCTTAAAGTTGAAGATGGTTTAAAAAATTAGATTGGTAACTTTTCCTAATATATTGTTAATGTCACATTGAGGAGGTGATTTATAATTTGTTTCCACAGATAATCAGACAGGCAAGCATAAAGACAGGAGGAAAGGCTCACTAGATGTGAAGGGTGTTACCTGCCAAGCAAGTGATGGTGAGTGACAAAGACGAGCAAAGAAACTGGGACTGAGGCAGTGTTGAACATGTGGAAGGAACCTGGCCTGAGCTGCCGGGCTCATCTCCTGGCCACTGGCCACCTCCAGTTCTTGAGAGGGAGGAGGCCTTCTGGGAACCTGGGTCCCATTTCTCCCCCTCCCACCTCCTGCCATTGGGCTCCATTCTGAGCCTTTTGGAGTCAGAGAACAAAGCAAAGGAAAATATGTATTTACTGTGTATTCTGTAGTTTATTTTCTAAACTGTAACAGCAGGAAATGTCAATGGATCTGCTATAATTATATGAGTAATGCATTTGATCATTCTTAGAGAGATATATTCCACTGTGGGTTACAGTTTGCCGTAGAAACTTACCTTTTATGGGGGCAGTTAGAGGGTGGGGGGTTATGAAGAAGAATGTGGGCTTTGGTGTCAGAATAACCTTGGTTCAAGTGGACTTTGGTGCTTCCATTGCTTGTCTGTAACATGGGGATAATTTGCTGTCCCCAAAGGATTGTGTGAGGATTAAACGAGTGTGTGTGGTACCTGGGGAGGGTAGGGGCTCAGTTCATGTTAGCTGCCATCCTCATCTTCACCGTGGCCATCATGATTACAATCCCAGCATCCTCTGCCCGCTTGGGGCATTGCAGAGCCGGGCTGAGGTCACTTATGCCCAGGACAGTCTTCACTCATCTTATGCTAACCCTCTTGACCTCTTAGATTCCTGTATATTTTTCTTTGTGTGTATGGAGGTGGGGATTGTTTGTTTTTTATTTTTTGGGTTTGTTTTAGTCAGAGTCTCACTCTGTTGCTCAGGCTGGTGTGCAGTGGCACAGCCATGGCTACTGCAGCCTTTTGACCTGCTGAACTCAGGCAATCCTTCCGCCTCAGCCTTCCAAGTAGCTGGAACTGCAGGTGCACGTTACCATGCCCAGCTAATTTTTTGGCTTATTGCAGAGGCAAGGTCTTGCCAGGTTGCCCAGGCTGGTCTCAAACCTCTGAGTTCAAGCAGTCCTCTTGCTTCTGCCTCCCAAAGTGTTGGGATTACAGGCGTGGGCCAGTGTGCCTGGACTTTCTGTATTTTTTTTTTTTTTTTTTT